TGAGGCACTGTGATTTCGACTTCTACCGCACCCATATGTAAAACCCTTTAATTGGGTGGACCCATTCCTTCACCCACAGATCGTAATTTTGACCTAAATCAGGGAGGGATCAATCTCCTATCCAGCACCCCCAGAGGTAAAATTTGTTATGAGAACATGGAGGACTTTGTGACCCGTTGGATTTAGTGTGCACCAGTCATGATTTACTTCGCGGTTGGATTCGAACCCCCGTTCTCACGAACATGAGTCCAGTGCCCTACCAATCAGGCTATTCCTGCCCCTCCAGGAGGTTATACTTTAACGTAATCTATATTTAATCTGTTTAATTAATCGTAAATAATCACAAAATATAGGCACTACTGTACCAGATCTCCAAGCATTTATAAAGTTCATGAACTGTAAATTTTCTGAGTTGCTTTTTAAAAAGGCAAGAGCATCGAATTTTTCTTTAAAAAGAAACTTAAGTTAAAATTGGAATTTAGTTTTTTGCTGAAATTAATTATACTGATTTGACTACAAAATTATTCTAATTATTTTATAATCTATTTGTCAATCTATTTTACCTTGTCCATTTTTTGTCATATTATTATTTTATCCTTGCTTCCATTATAACTTTGTTTAGCTTGAGTAAAAGCATAATTTAGTTTGAAATATTAAATTTGTATCAAGTTATAGTTTATGTATTAATATTTTTTTGGTACTGTATGTGTGTGTGAGTCATTTTTAAGAGAATGACCAAAAGTCTATTAAAAAAAAAATATATAGAAGTTCGAAAATTGTTAATATTCTTTTTACTCCTGACATATATTTTCACTCAAAAAGAAACATCTGAATAACTTTTAATCTAACAATTGGATTTTCACGTGTGAACATTTAATCATAATGTTTCCAGTAGTAGACTTCAAATATGCTAATTACTGCCGACGATAATTTTAATTGCAAAAAATTTCATTTTTTTAACAAACATACCTTTTTTCCAACGGATTCGGATTTTTTTCCCAAAAATACGGAAACAATATATATATCAAAATATTGATATAAAATTCGTAATCTGAAATCAGGGTTTACCGTAATGACTGCCTCTAAACTCTATTTTTGGAATCCTTATCAGAAATGAAAACAAAATAGTATACTCATGGGGGTTGAATATTAGATAGGAAAAAAAAACGCTAGCTGAATCTGTCAAATTAAAGTGGAGGAAAGGAATGTAATAAACATCAAAATAGACTTAACTGGAGGTTCAAAGTTGAGAGTTTTTTTCACAATCGTTTTTCAACTTGTCTCTGTTTACTCCCACTTTTAAACCAATCAAGTTGTTTATTGCACTTGTTTCCTGTGCAGTAATTTGACAAAGTAGGATAATGTTTTCTTTTTTCCCTTCAGTTAAATATTAATTTAAGAACCCTCATATGTAAACTTTTTGTTTTCCTTTTTGATAAGAGTTAAAAAATTACATATTAACAGTGTTCTTTAGTGAACATACTGTATATAGTTCCAAAGTTTAATCAGGTAAGCGATTAAAAGTTTAAGTTAAACATTAATTTAAGTAATTGATTACTTTGTGCTATGCCCGGAAACTGTAAAAGTAAATAAAAACAATTTTGTACTCAATTATAAAACCCTTTTATCCGAAAGTTAGATGTAAAAAATGATTTTTTAGAATTATTTATTATTAATTATGTTAATGATTGAAAGAATTTTAAATTATAGGATATACAAATTTTTATATTTAGGACTGTGTTTTTTTATTTTTTTTTTACAAAACCTATAATTTGGCAAAATGGTTCGTAGTTGAGTCCCAGAAGTAAAAATTTGAATATACTTTATTTAATAAAAAATTTTACTAACCAGTTTCACTAAAATTTTAGATCTCCTCATTTAAAATGACATCTCTTAGAATAATGTGAAAACTTGTAGTTTTATTCTAAATAAATTTTTTTTGTTGAAATTTTTAATTTTTCAATAATTTAATCAATAATAATTTTTTTTTTTTTTTTGTTGCTAGTTATGATATTGTGATCTAAAACATTTTTCATTGACATTTCTCTCCTTTTGTCCGATAAGTTTGAATGAGTATTAATCATTAATTAGAGTTAAATACTATTTTGGTAATTACTCATTATATCGCAAAAACTTATAATTTGCGAGGACCTACGAGCTGCAAGAATAAAAAAAAATGCTAATTAATTAGTGATAACGATTTATTAACAAAAGTATACTTCCTTTTAATGAACATGTCTTTTTTTACAATTATGAATTGAAATCCATCAGAATATGATGGTGGTGTCGCTATTTTGCAAAATGCTATTTTAAATGTTGTGGACCTTTTAAATGTTACTTTTATTGACCACTATATGTCTGAAAATAGTGGTGTAAATTGACAAAAGTTTGCAAATCTCATTTACCCTAAAATGTCAAGAAATGTTTAATAATGATTATTTTTTATTATTCAATTTAATAATAGTCAAAATTTAATTAGTAAGTTAAAAAAAAAGCGGGTCTATTTTATCTGAATTAATTCAAAATTTATAAAAAAAAATTTAATAAAACGTATGTTAAATAGAATAAAATTATGTGCATAAAAGTTTTTTATATAAATATATTTATTCATTTTTGGCTTCACAAGACCATTTTTAATTTGTTTAAAAATGGTGATTGTCACAATAATAAAGACAATCTTGCATTTTAAATTAACTTATGAATCGGATAAGAACCATATTTGAAATTGCAAAATAAACATATAGAAAATATTTTTGTGGTAAGACTCTTCTGCCTAAAAACAGTTTTTTCTTAAATTTTCTTTCATTTTGATTAAAATTTTTAAAAAAAATACAATATTTTTATACTATGTATAACATTGATATACAGAGTGTAAAAAAAGTATAGAAACGGTAAAATATCTTGAGAAATATGCTTTAGACCGAAACAATGAAAATGTCACTCAATTTTCCACCCCCGCTTTCTGAGGGTAGGGTGGAGGGGTAACTTTGAAATCTTTAAAATAGACCTCTATTTTTTATTGTAAATTTGGAATTTCTAAAGAAAAGGGTAATCCAATTCGACTTATAGGTCTATGTATTTCTCTTCACCACTGGGAGGTGAATAACAAAAATTTAAATAGGGTACATGCTGTGTAAAATAGACCCATAAATTGTAAAAAAAAAATTTTAAAAAATTAACTAATGTTTTGGTAATTTTTTCATGTATATTTTAAAGAAATCAATCAAAAAATTTATGAAAATTTTTATGTTCTTAATTAGATGGGTTTTAAGATATCGTTTTACGCGGTTTGTATGCTATTTTCATTTTTGTTGGTTACCTCCTATTGGTGAAACAAAATGCATAAATATATGAGTCGAATTTGGCCATATTTTTCTGCGGAATCCAAATCTACTATGAAAAATAAAGATCCATATTTAAGATTTGAAAGTGGCTTCACATCCCACCCCACAGTAGTGGGAGAGCTTATTATCATAATGGTTTTTAGAAAATATTGAATTCATCCATTTTTATTTTTTCACTCAAATGCATATTTATTCAAATATTTCACCATTTCCATGCTTTTTTTTTTTTTTTTACACTCTGTATAATTTTCAGCCATTTTTTTTTTTTAATATTTAACGAACAGTTTTGCAGAATGGTGGCACAGTTAACAAAAAATCGCATAAAAAAACAAGGCTTATTGTTTAACAAGTAAAAAACTATGACTGCAATTTAAAAAAGAAAATAATAATCTAAGCAAGATGTAAGATAAGAACAATTTAATAAAATGTAATTTTTTATATAAATTGTGTGAAAATTAATGCAAGTAGAGTGTTAAATAACTTTTTTTTTAATTTGATTTTTTCCCTTAACTGAATTATGGAGTGAAAAATATCAAGAATTTAATTTTTTAAAGGTTTTAAATCTTTGTTATATTTTTCTGAGAAACATAGTTTATCTATAGTTAAGTTAAAATTTATGTATTGCTGATTTTAATAATGATTTATTTCACTTGTAGTAGCATAGACAACACCCTCGCCTTGGAATTAAATCACTTGATAAACAACAATGAATCAATTTTTATTTCTACAAGTTTATCAATTTAATGAAGTTAGCTGTTTCATATTATTTTTGTAATAAATAATGTATTTATTTTATTATTCATATTGCTAATTACTGACACTTTACATTATTTCTTATTATTTTTAGTACTTCTAAATGTTAAGCTTCAAACAATATTTAGTTAGTTTGCTCATTCAATTAGATTACTAAATTTAACAATTAATTTAAAACATGATTAAATAAGATCAATATTTCTTTCAATGATTATATTTTTTGAAGGGATAATTTGTTACATGCCTCAGTTGCATAATTATATAAACTTATATATGCATAGATTTGTTTATTAGGCACTTCCCTTAAGGCATTTGCCCGTGTCACACATGGATAATCTTGTATCTCATGTTATTTTATTTCTATTGCCCGTCTGAGATGCAGTTTAATAAAAATAGATATGCTAGATGATAATTAAATTTATTTACCATAGATTACACCACTAAGCAGTATTTTTCTTGTTTTACCTGCAGTTCATTTCAATGATTAGTTATTTGATATTTAGTTTAATTTATTAAATATTAATTGACATACTGATTTAATTTGATTTTAATATTTTGAAATTCAAAATAAACCTGTAATCAAATTGTTTAACTTCGTTTGAACCCTAATTTTTTTTTTTATAAGTTTTACACCAACCCCCGCTCTCTAGTCACTCCCCAGAATCAAAATTGCAAAAAAATAATAACTTGCATTATACTTATATATTCATTTTCTGTCAGAAAAAACTTGATAATTTTTTATATCTTTTCCACAAAAATAAAAAAAACTCTTGCTTTTAAAGTGTTAAAATAATTTATTATTTGCATTATCGTATTCTTCTTCATAATATTGTTAGTTTATATATGAATTTAGTTATCATTCTATATGACAATTCATTTACTAAAAATAAATTATTATTATAGGTATTTGTCATACTTGTGGTGAAAAAGTCTCTGGAGCAGGCCAGGCATGCCAAGCTATGGGAAACTTATATCATACAAATTGTTTCATTTGCTGTTCCTGTGGTAAACACATTTTTGCTATGTTTCGTTGTGACTTCTGTGTCATCATTTTATTATTATTGGCTAAGTTAGATTCAATACATCCATTGTATTTGGGAGAGGTCTTGGAATACCTAAAATTTGAGTTTTGATTTTGCTGATAAAAAAAATTTTTTTAAGGGCTTCATAGTTTTCTCATATTAGCATGTCAAACATAATCTAGCTCTCTTTTCTTTGAAAGATTGCATAATCCATAACTTCAATAAATTCTTTATGCAAAAAATTAAATAACTTAATTTGAAGCATTTATAAATTTAAAAAAAATTACTTTTCTAATCATTTTAATGTTGCACAATCATTATATTGCTAAAGTAAACATTTTTGAAGTTTTAATAATATAATATATTGCATACCTGCCAACTCTTCCGGATTTTCCGGAAGATTTTATTTTCATATTTAAAGTGGTAGCAATACTCAGGTTATTCCAATTAACTTTTTTAATTATAATGATAATTATAAATGAATTTGACCACCACTACATATAAATAATTACAATAAATATATAGAAGCATAATAATCATTGCTCAAGCGAATTTAACAGGATCAAAATATAAATATATTTTTGAGTCAGATTGTTTTTCGTTTATTGTTTTACAACCACTCTGAAAATCCATTCTCGGAAAGAGTGAAAGTTGTCAGGTATGATATTGTAGTGAAATAGGTTGTGACTCTAATCCTAAGTCCAAAAAGAAAATTGATGGATTATATATATGATAATTAGGCTCGCAAGTTTTAAATAATAAATTCAATAAAACCTATTATTAAATAAAAACCAAAAATAAAATAAAAAAATAAAGATTTGAAAAAATTATTTCTTATAATCTTATGCCAGTCAATATTTTATGCAACTAACAGAAACTAAACAGAATTTTGATTAAAAAAATATTGTACATCATTAAATTATTCTTGTTTATAATTTACCATTCATTGCTTAAGATTTTCCTTTTATTTATTTATTTATTTATTTATTTTTTGTACTTCGAGAAAAAAATTTTAGTATAAACGTGTAGGCAACAAACATGAAGTAGTAAAATTTGGAATAATCCTTTTAGCATATGGTAAGAAAGTTGTTGGAAATAGTAATTACGATAGTAAATGATTTTGTTTATAAGTTATTTACTGATTAAATATATAATAAATGAAATATTAAGAAAAAAGATTAATCAATTAGGTTTTACATTCTATGGAGAGAAAAAATTAGTTCTTTTTGATTGATTACAATTTGATTTTAAATAAGTTTACCAGTTGTTACATGGACAATTAGTAAAGAACCCAGTATTGTCTAGTCCTCAGTTTCTCCAAGAAGAAAAACTAACCTGGTTTCACAACCAACATAAAAGTTACTGAAATCATTGTCCCTCTTCAACATAGGAGAGGGTTAAGAAGAGGAATGTGCTGCTTTACAACTTGTTTACCCAAGTTTAAAAACAAGGAACATGCAAAAGTAGAATTTTACTTAATATATAGAAATGCTGTTATTTGCAATCGCAACTTCTATAAATTTTAAGCATGAGAAATTTAAGAATAAGGAAATGAAATTAATAAACAAACTACCAATTTATCAATGTATGAAATTACCCAGATAAAATAAGCATATAAAATAACGTTAAATGAGAGTTCAGAAGGGACCAGTAGAAAAGTTAACTATAACCAAGTGTTCACTATATCCCAGATTCATTATAGCAGGATTTGACTGTATTTCAAAAAATTCATGGTTTCTAGAAATAAAAATGATTATTTACGAAAATTGAAAAATTTGCTACTCTAATTTTAATGTGCATTGCAACTACCTAATATTTGTGTCAAACAATCTAGGTAATTAGTCAAATGTAGAGTTAATTTTAAAGTACTCAGAGAGCATCTTGTTAAGTATGCCAAGCATTCCATCAAGGGCCCACAATCTGCTTTCTGTTGGTGGGTAACTATGAAAGCCACATGGCCTTTTTAAGCAATAATTAATTAAAATAATACTTATTAATCAAATTAACTCAATATTTTTATGCGTTTAAGCTTTATTTTTTTTTTCCTGGACTGCTCTCAGTAGTGCAGGTTTCCTAATTTTAGTATCTAAGTCTTTGATACCTAATTTTTTAATGGTATACCCTTTTTTATAGGACGTGCTTTGCGAGGTAAAGCTTTTTATAATGTGCATGGTAAAGTATATTGTGAAGAAGATTACTTGGTAAGTTATTTGAAATAATAATATTTGTAAGTTATTTGCTTTATAATATTTAAAAAAAAAAAAAAACACAGAATAACTTGAAAAATTCCTTGGGTTTTATAAAAATTCATATTTTTATTTGAAATGAGGCTAAATAATTATTTTCCTTGCTTTTAACTTATTTTTCTTGTTTTTACAATATACCACAATTCTAGCACAGTACCCTTTACTAGTCCAGAATTTGTTTTATATAAAACAATTTTTGTTTATATCTGTGAGACAAGCAACTTTTATTAAAAGGAAACTTTATTTAAACTTACCTTTTACTAAGAAAGATAATGTTGAAAAAACGAATTTTTGTCATGCCCAAGCATCATTTTAGCTTTAACAAACATACTGTAGAACTTACTGCACACTTTTGTATTTGATATAACATAAGTCCTTGATCTAGACTCTGGAGCTAAAATTGTTAAATAAAGAGTAAAGTCTTAGAAAATCATATTAAAAAAGATGGCTAAAAATATTTTAATATTTTTTTTTCTGATGGTGAAACATGACTGAATTTAGACAGTACATACTAACTTGTTATTTAATTGTATTTTAAAATTGAAATAATATACTGTGCATTGGGTTAGCTTCAAATATAACAGTAACTTTTTCCTTGTTTAAGAAATTAGTGTTTGAAATATCATGTATAAACATAATTTAAAGAGTAGTCTACCAAAAGGGATTTATTTCATACAGAAAATTTAAAAATTTGGGGAAATTTTTTTTTCTTAAAATTTTTATATCATATTGTAACTTGGTCAACAGGACCTCTACTTAGCAGAAACTAAAACTTAGTTTCACCACCATAATTTTTGAAGTGGTTGCAAATTAATTCAAGTTAAAACAAATTAATTCCAGTTTCAATTTTGTTATAATAAAAAGTTTTAAAATATTTACTTGTTTTTAACAAACACTTAATTGCTAGTTGTATTTTTATAAATCAGATTAGCAGAAAAATAGGCATTTAAAGTGTTATTTATTTATTTATTTATTTTGATAATGTGTTCCAAGCTTTTCCTAACCACAATCAATATCAAATTTTTATCATTGAATGTCAGCAATGAAGTAGGCAGTAGTCAGAATATCATTAATTGTAATTCAAATATTACAACTATAAAAATCTTTAGTTTAAAAATATTAATTCTTGCAATGTTTGAATTTTTCTAGTCTAACATTCAATAGTAATTCTAAAGAAACAATGAAAAACTCTTTTTTAAAAAAAAATTGTAGTTACTGAAATTAATTGAAGAAAGTTTTTTCGATGTTATTTGAAAATTGATATTTAACAACAAAACAATGTGGGAATTGTTTTTTATTATTTAATTTCCTTACAATAAAGTAAAAAAGAATAACAAAAAAATTACTTGGATGATCAAAAATGCCTATCGATTAACAAACTAAAGTGTTTTTGCTGATGAAAATATCTGATTTTTCTTTTTTTCCTGAAATGCCACAAGCATTTTTCTTGAAATTTGAATGTGTAGCCAGGAGAATTTTATCTCTCTTGTAATTTTATTTGAATTTGTAATTAATTTGACCTGGACTTTTCATGGCATACATGCCAGATATATTTGTCAAGTTTTCTTAAAGATTTAATATTCTGACTAATTGTAGATAGCTAATTTTGTTCAAGAGTATTGTTCGCCCGCAAAGTTTACGGGCTGTTGCCATTTGACTTTTTTATTTTATGCATTTTTTGTATTTTATGTTCTTTAATGTTTTTTTACTTGGTTTTTAATAAACATTTACCCGTATGCCCTCAATTGGGGCAGGTCGGAGTAAATATTTTCATCTCTCTTGTAATTAATAGAAAATAGTTTGACTTGGTTGTTGAACTGAAAACCTCACTTAAAATTGAATAATATTTTTTTTTTCCAATCGCGTAAAGATCAAAGTAATTTTTTTTGCTACAATGTTTTTATTTTTCATTAGTATTCTGGCTTCCAACAAACTGCAGAAAAGTGTGCAGTATGTGGACATTTGATTATGGAAATGGTATGTATTTATGTTTTAAATTTTTCTGCATAACTTCTGTTAAAATCATTATTGAATCAAAGATAGTAACTTAAGTATCATTAATCCTATCTTTAGCTTAATGTATGTATCTTTGAGCCTATTTTTTTTTCAATGTGGAGTTTAACATACACTGAAATCAACTGAAACTAATAAGTATAAAATAAGACAATAGTCATTTTATGACTCAAGAACTTTCACGAGTGTCGAAAAATTGTGAATATTTTGGGGATCAAACTTTTTATGGCTGTTTTAATGCCTGCTAATATTATCAATCTAATCGTTTTTGCTAGAGCACATGTATAAATTCTTGCTAGTGTTTAAAAGTAACGTTCCAAAAAAAATGAAACAATCCGTTTCTTATGCCCGGAATCATGTTTAGTTTTCAATCTATATACCTGGTGGCAGTACCCGACTATTTGTAGTGTGTTTAAATATAGTTTATTTTAAACTAGATGTCAGCACTCATCAAGCATAAATGTTTTTGAATATTAAAAAATGGATACATATATTGGACCTACTCTTAGATTTATATAATTTTCTAGAATAAAAAAAAGCGATCATTAAGGGGTTAAAAAAATAATATTTTTTTAAGAGAACTCATAGTTTTTAATCATTAATAATCATAATTTAATCGTTAATTGAAACTTAAATTTTTAACACAGAGAAAAAAATCCTTAAAAGAATTATTGATCATAACATAAAAATAGTAAATTTTTTAAAGTATTTTCTTGCTTTGAAATAAAGACTAACATTCTATTTTATTCAAAATAAAATTATTTTTAATGTACCTGGACCAGTTGTGAGCATTTTAAAAATGAGTGTGACATGTTTTAGAGTTTTCTGTTGATTGTGTTTATCTTTTTTGCATGCTGCTTTGCTTGAAACAATTTATATAATTGTTATAAACTTCTTAAATATTTGTTGCAAACTTTTATTATTATAGAATCAGTAAGGTATTAGTCTGATTAAATAAGTGATTTTTTTTAAAAAATGTTTCTTAAGATACTTCAAGCGATGGGACGATCCTATCATCCTGGATGCTTCAGATGCTGCATTTGCAATGAATGTTTAGATGGTGTTCGATTTACTGTAGACATGGACAACAAGATATATTGCGTTGAAGATTATCATATGTAATTATTTTTACTTTTCATATATGTTAATTGTAATTCTTTTATGTATTTATTTTAATTAGTTTTATAAATTTTTAAAGTGAAATTAAATATTTCAGCCTTAAATACATATTTACTTATAGAATTAGAATTATATTTAGTTTTGTTTTCTGTGCTTTGGAATTTATTCAGGGTTTCTTGGAAAAAATCTTAAACATGAGACATGCTCTTACGGTCCAAAAGGAACAAGATTAACTATGTCCATTTTGTATGTAATCTTGTAATTGTAATTGTTTTGTATGTAATCTTGTAATATGTAATCTATGAAGTAATCTTGTAAATCATGAGCAAAAGGTTAAAAAGTTCGGCAGCTGTTTTTGTATTATTGAACTAACTGTCATCCATGCTGCTACACAGAATGAGTTAAAACACTGATTTAATTTTTTTTTTTTACATTTCATGTCACCATACCAATGATTGTACTTGTTAGTAGAATCAACAGCTTTCTTTTTACGTTTTGGCTTCCTTTTCATGTCATTATATTTTAACCATGTTAATCAATCTTAATTTAGTTTTATCCTGTTCGGCTAGTAATTATGAAACCTTTTACAAACCTGTTAAGTTAGATTTTTTTAAACTTCAGTTGTTAAATTTTACTTTTTAATTGATATTTAAAAATTATAATTCTTTTTTTTTTCTTCCTTGTAGCCATTTTTTGTGTAGGAATTAAGTATTGACCCCATAGAACGTTTTTTTCCCAGGTTACAGAGAATAGGGAAAACCTGGAATCATCAGGAAATTTGAATTTGGCTCTAAAATTAAGGGAAAATTCTTTTTTTAAACAACATTGAAAATTCCTATGATTTAAAAATGACCGGTCTCAAAATCTCCAATAACAGTAATTTATTTAGATTAAAGTTACATTATTCTATATACTACAGTTATTCCTCATAAACATTTCCCATTACAGTTGAATTTTTTCTTTTCTTAGTTAACTGATATTTTGTTTCTCATAATATATATCCCCGAATGCCCTTAATGGGGCGGACCTGTATACTATTTCCCCTTCTCATGAAATCTAATACTATCTGACATACGAAATAAAATAAATCATGTTTTTCTGATGAAAATTGCAATGTTCTGATAAAATATGGTCTGGAATTACGTTTTAATTTTTCTTAGATGCTTTGAAAAATCAGAGAATTTTTGAAATTAAGTGGAACCAAATAATAAATTATAAGCTAAGTATGGAATAGAAGACCATAATTTTTTCTAGTCAAATTAAAAGTACTAAGAATAGGGATACAAGAAATGTTTATACATATTTTAAATTCTAATACATGCACGCAACATATTTAAGCAAAAAGTAATAAAATATTGAGAACAGAATATAAAAAAATGCTTAAAAAACTTACAAGTGGCCATCTCTCTTTAATGTGAAACTAAGTTGGACATTCAATACAGTAAATGAAAAGTAAGGTTAAAATATGGAAAATGGAACATTTCATTGAGTTTACCATGAAAAATGTATAAAGAATGAATTTTACTATGGAAAATGAGTTTAATAAACGATGATTCTAATAAGCAAAATCTAATGTATAGAGTTATCCCTTATTTTTGAGAGAAGTTAATCACTTCTTTGGCAAAGTTTTTACATGTTTCATGGAGCCACTGCATGTACCTTGCACATCTTATACATTTATCATTTTTAGTTGTGATATTGTATTCCTCTTCTTAGCTAAATATACTGATATTCATCAAATTCTGAGTTGTAAATTTAGTTAATTTGTAGGGTTCTTTCAAGTAATTTATAGGGCTCTATTGGATAAGGTGTTAGGTCTGTAGAATCGGAATATAATATGTGTGTTTTATACGGTTCATAAAAAATTTAAAAAAGTGGTTTCAATTTTATAATAAAAAAGCTAAGGATTTATTTTATTTAAAAAAAATAAAATAGGATTAATAAAAAAGCTAGGGATTCAACTTCAATCTTAAAATTTTGAAACCAAACCAAAGAGAAATCATTAACAAAACCAAAGATTTTGTAGCTAGATTTATTTATTTGAAAATATCAAGAGAGTGGTGGTGAATACAAATTTATTAAAATACATCTTATTTTCTTACCTTTCTTTTAACCAAATTTTGAACTTTTTAAGAATCCTAAGATCTCTGATGAAATACAGGGTTCCCACGGTCCTTGAGAGTCCTTGAAAGTCCTTGAATTTTTTTTTGCTAAATTTAGGTCCTTGAAAGTGCTTGAAAAACGTCTTAGGTCCTTGAAAAACTTGATAGGTCCTTGAATTTGTCCAATACTGCCAGCGGCCCTTTTTATAAAAACCCGCGGATCTTTCTCGTTCTTTCTGTTTTGTTCCCGAGCTCTCTCACATGATTTTTAACGCCACCGTTTCTATCCGGGCCTAGCGTCTTGGTGTCTGCCAAGCGCGCGGACCACAGCAGACAATCAATGCGTTCGGGGCGAGACTCCACTTCATCTTCTGTCGCATATGCTTAGATCTTCTTTTTTCTTATCGAAACTGGAATACTCTCGCATTTTGTAACAATATGTACGTTGTAGTTTTCAATAAATTTGCCGTTTTACCATCCGCACTTGTCCTTACGTTTGCGTCATTTCAAAACTTTATTGTAAAGCGTATTCGCAAAGGCACGGCTTCGTATTTGTGTTTTGTAGTTTAGACTAGTTATGCCTGGGAAGTGCTATTTTAATCCCCAATGGATGGATAATCAAGCTTATAAAGAATGGAGTTAACAGAGGTGATGAG